GCCTCCGCTTTTCTCATTTCCAAAGTTGGCGTCCTTGACCCCAGCAGCTCAGGTGAACTCGGTGTTGTGGTCTATGACTGGGTCATTTGGCTCTACGCTTCGGCGACGCTGTTCGCTAAGTTTATGTTATGCTGAGCTCGCTTCGCTTGTCGTAGAACTTTCCTAACATGTCCGAGTTACCTAGGCTGCTAACGTTTGACTTAGAGTTTTGTCAAAAATTGTCCCTTCTGTTATAGGTGGTCGAGTTGTAGCGGCAGCTGGACACTTTGTGGTAATTGAGGGGTTTCCTATATTGTTCTCAGGTTAGCTGATTTGATCCATGTATGAGGTTTCTCTATGGATAGTACCGGTCCCAGCGTTTGCAAATTCATCCAAGGAATAAAGCACTTAATTATCCGTATCAGATTCACAGTAGGTGCATCACTTACGTTCACAGGCGACAGACAGTTGTCAAAATTCGCCTTAACGCACCTGGTCTTTGCGAAACTCTTCTGGACTATCCTACTGGTGTTGCAAAGCCGTTCTTGCAAATACTAACTGTAAGTCAACGAACTTCGTGCGGGTTCTAAATGCGCTTTGATAGGCGAGAAAAAGTGAGAACCGAACTTACGTTACTTAACTTGACTAAGAGGGCGCTTTGGATTGTCGTAACCCTTTTCCTCCGCCTTGTAAAACGCAGGAGTTTGTGTTCCAAGCCACACACTTTAATTATTAGTTTGCGAATAGTGTGTAAATTCAGGCGGTCTGGAACATTATACACCACTACTTCCTTAACACCTTTTAGTCGATTCATCACACCAGTGCAAAACGTGTTAAGGAACCACAACGCCAACTTCTCTTGCTTAACCTCCACACAGTCATTGTTTTGAACCATAGTCGCTATGGCTGCCAGTCTATCAGTAAAAGATTCTATTGTGTCGAAGAGCTTTTTGATCTTCTCCACGTCGTTTTGAAGCTCGACCAGTTGCGAAATCAGAGAAAAGATGTCGGTTAGCTTAACGGTGCATGGTATAGTTGTGCCAGATGAGTTCTTGCTGATCGATTTAGATTCGGCCGGGATATTCCTTACTGGTCTCACCCCCTTGATGGTGACGTTAAGACGAAATTTACAGACCAAGTCCAAAGGAAGCGGTGAGAGAAAGGAAAAGATGACAATAGCAAAACTGCAAGTTTATCGAAAAGGAATAAGTGAAAAGCGTGATGAAATATACTCTGGAGACAATAACCACCTTTACTAGATTGAACAAATTGAGAGTGAGACAAAACATACCACGTTACCGGGTACAGCTCAGACAAAATTTTCCAATTAATCACTACACGCGTCGCTAACGAGTTCTCAGAGCGAACCCACAGCCACCTCAGTTTATACAGCTTCATACCCTGGCCTCGTGTCTAACTATCTGCACGAAGATGAAAGAGCAATTTTAGCTCATTTCCCATCTCATCTTGGAGAATACTTGGTGTGTAAAACAGGTCACAATGGCGAAGCCGATACTCACGGGAGAAAATTTTAGCACATAAAGCCGATAAGTGTAAGACAGGTTCCGGAGTATCATGCCGGTTTTCAAGCTTCGCCGCTGAACTTTCTCTATAATACGCGTAAGGCTTTCATAAGAGGATACGACGCTGGCCCCCGCACTCAAATATCGATGGAATATGGGAGCTAAACGGATGTCGGAATATCTCCGGAGTCAAATGGGAAATATTCCAATGAAGCAGAAAAATTCGATTAGCAGCGGCACCTTTCTTGAGTGTACCTGAAGTCGGGTGTTGGCTTTCTGAAAAGAGAACTCCAAGGTCCTTCTCCAAAGTTGCTTTCCTGAACAGCAAGCCCCCAATATGGTAAGCACCAACTTTGTCCGTGGCAACAATTGGGAGGACAGAACAATTAGCATGGTTAATTTGTAGCTGCCACTTCATTGGCCCACAGTGCAGTCGGTCCAGAGTTGTCTGTAGCCGGTCAGCAACACCAAACCTGGACACTTCTAGTCAAACTTTTACATCCTCAGCATATACGGTGCAAGCGGTTTGGAGTTCTGATGGAAGATACGTGATATAGATATTGAAGAGCTAAGTAACATAGACAGTACCGTGTGGGACCCAGCTGAGTGTTATACAGAGTGGTATAGATGGCGCCAAAATTCACTTGCATGCTTTAGCCAGTAAGCAAAGCAGCGACCAAAGCGAGAAGCATCTCATAAACGCCAATTCCACGGAGATAGAGAAGCAGTGGTCTAGAAACCACATTGTCGAATGGCTTGCTGCAGTCGACGAAAGCGACATCCAGACGAATACCGGCATCAAACGATCTCGCCTATTTTTCCTGTGCAAAATGCAGGTTATTAACACAGGCAGCTGCTATATGAAAACCAACATTATCGCAATAGATGATAAGCCGGTGCTCTAGAGGAAGACGTCGTGCTCATTAAAACTTTCGCTATATGATTTTATAAATTATAGACCGGTAGTTTTCAGGTTCCTGATAATCGCCTCCTTTTGCATATGGGACTACATTACCCAGTTTCCAGGCCTTCGAAAATGTGTTCATCACCTAGGGTGCGCCGGGATACTTGTCAAAAGCGAAAAGCAATTTGCTGCGCCACCGTTTTGAAGAACAAAGGTTGCAGATCAACGAGACTCGGTGAGCAGTTTAAGTTTAAAGCAAGAAGCAGTCTCCTTACCAAGTCGTTCAGGTTCGTACCAGCCTCTGTTTTAAAGTAGTTTCACGCCAAGGCTGTAGATCGAAATGTATTCCGTAATCTGTAGTCTTTATTCACATGGATCCTTAACTAATGTTACATACAAGCAGGACGTTTTGAAACCTGTTTCCTTTGGCAGACTGGGACTACATGGCCATGTATTAAGAGATTGTGTGTATGATAGGTTCCAGGCATTGTTACCATCAAAGTGCTCATGAATGCTGCAGTATCGAGTACTTGCAGTAACGCTCGGGCAGGGTGGTTCTGCATGCCGATAGTTCTAACGGCACACATTCTGATCATAAATGGCGAGACCACACAATGTACACTTTCGACAATGAGTTGCCGTGCAGTCAAGTAGGAGCCAAATGTGTAGGCCGGTGAGAGTACGATTACCAAGATGTGTGGAACCTGGTCAGTGTATATTTTAGTGGGTGCTGCAGCGTGCCAGAGCGAATGGCGAGCACAACTGGTATCGGGGAAAGAGCATCTATAGAATCCGAAGAGAGCTCACAATGGAGCAGATCACAGTTAACAGCAACAGCCTTAAAGTCTCCCATTATCATTCAGTTTCTACGTCTGTGGTGCAACCTTTATGAATCTAGAAGGCATGTTTAGGACCCTGAGAGACCAGTACCCGCCCTGAATCGGACACAACAAAAGCTCGGAAGAAGCATCCGTGCCGCAGCTTGCTTTCATGGGATGAGTCCTGTGGCTCCCCTTCCAATAAGAATCATAACACACCCAGGCCTAATTCCACAACGGTCGAGCTGAGGAAACTGATGCCCCAGCGTTTGAACTTCTGCGTCTAGTATGTCCGACGATAACTAGGTCGCTGTGAAAGCCATTTATCCAGGTTGTTACTCGGAAGCCAACAGTTGAATTTCTTCCAGCTTCTTATGATACGCGCACTGGTAACTCATTCGTTAGTCTCTCTGGTTAGGATAACAAAGCTTGGTTTCCATTGAACTCTCCGTGGTTCTGTACCAGGCGAAAATTCACAGTGTAGTGATAAATTCACCAGCTGTCTGACGCCTATGTACTTTCTCGACTGGGCTCTTTATTCCGGCATGATAGTCTAGAGAAAGGTCTGATAGTGCATAAAAGAATTCCCCATTGAGACTTGAGGTCCGGCTGAGAATTCGACGGCTTTCAAATTTATTCTGGTGGCGAAACTGGAGGAGAGGAGCAGACTTATTGCTTATTGCTGAGACGAAAGGCATAAACTATATCGCTGTCCATTTCACCTTCAGGGAATGGCTTGGAAACTCTCTGGTCCTGTTCGTCCAATAGCTTAGCAGCCGCGGTACTCCTATGAGATTCAAGGGCTTTCATGATGTCCAAGCACTGACCCAACTTGTACTGTTCTAACCAACCGACAGATAAAAAAGAGGGTTGTCTTTAATTAGCGTTCCTAGGTGGTATATTCGCTCAGTAATTTGTTTCTGTTGGGAAGGTGGAATGGGATGCATTAGTTTGGACTAACTTTCGCTTCGGACTGTTTTCCCCTGAATGACTGCTTTCCGGTGAACGAAGACTCCAGCTGCACCACCGCTAACGATTGTTGCATGTGTTGTGGGTTAAAGGTCATGCTGTCACTAGCAGGCGCCAGCGGCTGCGAAAGCGACGCAGAAACTGCCCGGCTCCTTTTTGCAGCAGGGGTGCACGCATTGGTTTGACGTTCGCTATATGCCATGGTGCGGAACGATGAAGCAGAGGACGCTATAAAACGACTACTTGGGCAGTCGCCCAGCTGGACAAGGCAGTTAGCGGGGGGGGCTCGGCTTATGTTTCCCTTGAGTAGGCCACAGGGCTGAGCGAGGTGGAACTGATCCCGAAGATCTTGTCCGCCTCAGTCAATTGGCACACGCCAAAAAGAAAAAGATAACCGAGTAAATGGTCCGTTAAAGCAATGCATACAAATGTGCTTCGACAGTACATCAGGTAATATGCAACCAGACATTGCAGGTCATGCAGTGCACAGCCATAGAGCAGGTGATTATTGCTCGCGGCAATCCAAACAGGTTGATGCCACTGCAGCTCAGACGCTGCTAGCAAAAGTCAACCTCTGTCCCTAGTTTATTCAAGGAATATCCTAGGATACTGAAGGCTAAAAAGTCGGGTCAATATGGTGGGCCAGCAAATCGGGCTATCGCGTCAAGGTCAGATCAGATTGATCCTATTAAATGTGTGACATTGTTTTGCTAACTTATTGTTAAATGTTTATCCAGAAACAAATCGCTGGTAAATTGTCTATTTTCATCAGCCAGGGAAAAGTTGTTCATTTTCCATCGCTCCTCTGTTAGCTCAATAGTTCGTTTACCTCGTTGCGTGTCTTGATGGGTTGTCTTCAACTTTGCCAATGGAAAGACTGAACGATTCCAGGGTTGACGCCACTTTCGAGGAAAATTCGAAAGTATATTACTTTCTGATATTCTATTTTAGAGCTCGAAACTTTCTGTGTCCTCCAAAAAGCTGCGTATCCCCAGTCGGTCAACTTCTGAAACTGGCAGCTACGATTCAGGTAAGGGACTTTCGCTATGACATCAGTAAACGTCGCAGGTTGTGTTCTCTTAAACCCAATGTTCTCGTCGTACTATGTTTATTTAAATTTGTATGTCCTTAACTTCTCGTCTACCATGAGTAACCAGCAAGTGTCCGCTGGAGTGACTTGCAGCGCACTGAGTGATCAATGTTTGTGCCTCTGGTCGTCCGACTTGGACATTTCGCTCACTTAGAAAGTGTTTTTCCCACGCACCTTTTCTATATATCTTAGGTGATTTTTCTGGCTGCAAATACCCCCTGACAAAGGAACTTCCTTTTGCTCTTTACCAACCAATGAACCAATGAATATGGACTGCGAGCCGTGCCATTCAGGAGTGCTTTTGGTCACTGGCAGAGGCAAATAGTTACCATGAAAAGAAATGGCATGATCTGTCTTGATATGCCGTCAAATAAGATTATACATCCTTAACACCACAGTTCGTTGCCTAAATGGCGTTCCTTTAAGCAAATGGTAATTCCAGTAAGCGCGAGTGACCATTAGAGCTCCCTGAATTACCAGTTTTTGTGCCCCTGGCTGTTCCAATTGGACACTTTTGAACGACTTTTGGTCCCGATGGCATTTTCGGTTTGGAAGTTAACACTTATCTATAGGAAGTCTATGTAGCTATATCTCAATGTAGGACATGTCCCACTGACACAGTGTTACCTGTAGTAGTGAGCTAGCCCAGGTGAAAAAAGTAAAATATTTACGAGCATGGAAAAAATCTCCATGTACTTACGATATATTCTTGGATGAACCACATGGAGTCCTTCACCAGCTCCGCCGCCTATTACGGATGGGCATCGTTTCGGAAGTTGCAGTTGGTGCTCCATGGGTTATAATCATTGAACGATTTCTTCGTCAGTTTCCTGTGAAGGCTTCGTCGAATCTGGCTCCCGGGAACGGTTCCACATGTTCACCACTCGCCGCTCAAGACACAAGGGATGAGCTACCCACTTGAGGTCAGGGACTACCAGTTTGTACTGGTGACCTCGTGTGCTGCTTGACGCACGGACATGGAGCAGTGGCCTCAGCATCGGATAAGCACCCAGATGCAATACCCGATGGGTCATGATGAGGTCCACTCGCACGCGGCGGTAAGCTAGAGTATACAGACCCAATTGTCTGCATCTTTCTTCATACGGCACACCCTGAAGACCGGGAATGAGCCGTGTAGCTATGTGTTGTACTCTTTCGAGTGTTACTTCGTCAACAGAGTGGTGGCGATTCTAGCACCGGTCGTACAATGGATGTGAAGAGACGAGTGGCAATCTCTTTCGACCAGGGCAGAGCTACGTTAGGCCACAGCGAACGCATGCTGTGCGGCCAAGTCTCTGACGCAATGCGTCGGGTGTAGAACTTGGCGTCAAGCCAGACGTAGGAATCAGGAAGAGAATGGGGCCAAGCACCGTCCCCTGAGGAACGCCGCTCGTCGACGGGTACCAGTCGGTCAGGTGGCTGTCGACTTGCACCCTCCACTTCCGTCCAACTAAGAAGTCACGGATCCATTGGTGCAGCGAGCCTCCGACTCCGCACTCCCTCAGTTTCTGAAGGAGGATCTCGTGTTCACTCTGTCGAAGACCTGCTTGAGAAGAATATTCTTTACAATACTTCACATCAGACACCTGCAATTATAAAACTTGTGTTAGTTGAATGGGCTTATGAAAGCGGAAACTGAACATTAGGCAGCTAACTAAAAAAAAATTATAAAAGATACCTTGGACCTACGACCGAATACTTGTTCAAATGCATCGCTTAGCATTCTCCGGCTTCACTGCGAAAAGGCATAGTGAAACGCATCAAGTTTTGCATCCCATAACGTCTAGTGGAAACCACATCCTGCGGATTAATGAAGCTGTCCCAAGACGCTACCCAAAGGTTTTAAATGAAGACCTATTGGTAATCGCCAATGCCATTGTAATTAAGGTTCTGAGACCAGAACTGTACAAACAGCGAATGCTGGTACAAACCCTGACTTTGCCCTGGCCTTGCACTCCCTTTTTACATTGCTTAAACTCAGCCATGGTCACGTGTTTTTGTATGTGGCGTAGTCCAATTGAACAAACCATCGATCTTTCATACTACCTTTTTGGTTAACTCCCTATTCAGCTAACACATATAGGTGCCTGAAGTGAATTATCGAAAAGAATATTCTTCGCAAGCAAGTGTTAACTTTCAGTCTGGTTCGATTCCCCGTCAAGGCAGATTATTGTGCGCAGTCTAATCGTGACTTCTACTTTCTACGAATAATATTCGGTTTAGATTAATGGCTAGTATTATGTACTTACAGCTGGGAATCGATTTTGGCTTCATGTTGATATTATTTACAAATATAAAGAATGCATTCACGGTACATGGTATGGGTGCGTTGGAAAAAGCATTCTTGGTCTCCATTCGGGACGGCTAGGGACACAAAGGTTGCTCACTCAGAGAGCGCTAACGGTCACTCCAGCGGATACTTTGGTAACTCGTGCGGACAGGCCTGTCATCAATGTAGGACTGCAGGACTGTAACCATTGAATTTGAACAAACCTATTGAGTGACCCAAATATGTTCACTTGGGATGGCCATGCCATAAAAAGCGGTCGCTCAGATTGCTCAAACGGTCACTCGCAAGTTCTAACTCAGGTGGGACTGGAACGATAGAAGAATCCCGTGAGTGCTCCTTCTTAAGCAGTTACTTGAGCCAGAAACTGATGAGGTGGTCCTAATTCCTGATAAAACCAAAACCCGTCGCATGGAGACTGGACCTTAACCTGGTGCGGTGGTTGACGCATTAAGCTATACTGGCTGGTGCCTCCGGTCCCATTGAGAGTGACTCCTACCAGGTTGGTCAATGGTTAGAGATCAGACGAAATCAGTATCCTGGTCCTCTCTGTTGGGGGGTTGAAATGGGATGGCGTCCACTTCTGTAAAACCAAATAATTGCCACGTACCCGCTGCCTTGCGGACAGGCTTTTAAGCCAAAGCCTTTGGTTGAGAAACCTAATCGTCCTCCTGTCTAGGTCTGGGCGCCCTGGCGGTATCAGCTCACATACTACCATGACTTTTTCTTCAAACGTAATCTTCATCCTGCATCGGCCGTCGCTCAAATTATCAAGGGTCACCTTATCTGCTGCCTACAGCAGGGCGGATACGCGAAAACGCTACCGCTGGCGACTTCCTTCTTTATTTTCCACCTGTTTCTCTTCCATCCCCACACTCATTGGTAACCTTTCTTTTATAACTCCCGGCTTAATTGACGGCAACCGAAGTGCTACTGAAGTAGAACCATCTGCAGCCACCTCGCGACACCCATCGGACACTTATCTGCAATAGCCCCTTATAAGTCCACGCTGTCCAGTTTCCATGGCGGCGTTCAGCGTTCACACTCTAAGACATAGGTCAACAGGTTGCACTCGCACACATCTTGGACACGCTGGTTATTGATGTGTGTTGTGTGTCAGAAACTAGGATCAATGACCTAATGAGGTTGTTGAATTAACTGCACCCGGCTTCTCTCGTTATTGGTTGCACACATCCGGGGTCAAGCTGGTGTTGATACCGTACTAAGTTCCAAGGCTGAGCCATCGTTGGTTGATTAGATTCTGGTGCACAGCGGTTTGTTTGCAGCCCATTTGACGACATCAGCTGAGGTTTATTTTGGAAGTAGTACAAAACGCTGTTTGTTTGTGATTTCCGCTTGTGCTCCCATCGACTGCGGTTCAAATGGTGTCAAGAACACATTCTATCACGAAATAAACGCGCTACTACGCACTGTTATTAGTTCAGATATTATAGTGGTTGCAGGGGATATGAACGCACAGGTAGCATGTATGAACTCTTCAGAGGCTCAGCTGGGGGGTAATTATGGGCTTAACTCCCAACGGACTGACAACGGCCAGCGTCTGCTGCAACTTTGTGCGGAGCACAGTGGTCGCCGAAGTCCCACGGCGTGTTCCTGTAGCTGGCCAGCGATGAACCCAACTTGATCACATTGTCATAAGATATAGGTGACGTGCTTACGTCCTGGACTGCCACTCCTACTGGAAAACCTGCGTCGACTCTGATTATGCCTTAGTACGCTGTCGTTTCTCCATGCACTTCACTGGGAGGCGCACCAAGGGTCTCCTCCGATTGGCAACTGAGAAATTGTCTCAGCCCTCAGTCAGGCAAGCCTATCAAGACGCACTGCTTACCGAACTTTCGCTGTCTTATCTTAATGACACAGAGGTTCAGTGGAATAGGATTTTGGCCGCCATGCACGACGCATGAGCATCTGCTTGTAGCGCTATCAATCGTCGCAGCAGTAAGCACTGGATATCCGAGAGTTTGGTGAACCTGTTGTAATCCAGAAGAAACCTCCCGGTGACAAGACGGACTATTAGGCTCGAACTGAGCCGGAGCCTGCATGCTTACTAGGAAGCCTGGTGAACCAGTCGTGCTCAGGAAATGGAGTAGGTAGCAACAATAAGCAATTACCACAAGTTTCTCCAGCTGATCCGCACCACTGGTCCCAGGAAACCAGGCGTCAGTGAGACAATCAGGGACAGCGCGAGTGCACTGATACACAGTAAGGAGCATGGTGTGGCTCGCTGGGCGGGGCATCAAGATCAGTTCAGCTGTCCCCCGCTCCTAGACCTCTTTTTACTCAATTGATGCAGGACGAGCTATGGACGGTTAGTTTAGACGTTCCATCGGAGGCTGAGGTCCGAAAGGCGATCACAGCCCTCAATCGTTTTCGTGCCACTCGCCCGGGTCCTGTCCCACCTGCACAAGTTAAGAATGGAGGTGAGGTTCTATGCAAAGCACTGACCTCGGTATTTGAACCTATGTGGAAGGATGTGTCCCGCCTAACTAGAGCGAATCGATTATAGTGGCAATATATAAGAAGGGCAGTCGCACAGACTGTTTTAACCACAGGGGTATTAGCTGAACGCCAGTTGTGACAAAATTACTGGCCTCAATTCTCGTTCGTCGCTTTGCTGTGGAACGGGAAT